GATGCATTATTGCCTTAAATAAGAATCCATGCCAATCTCTTCAATAAAAGATTTCCATACAATACTTGATTCCGATTGTTCAGTATGGAAGGAGAGTGCAAAATTTCAGATCGATAGCTTAAAACTGAGGAACTAGTTCCCGTATATACAACAGACAGACGGACAGACAGACGGGCATGGCTAAATCAACTCAGCTCATCATGCTGATCATTTATGTATTTATTTTATAGGCGCTGAGATGTTTCCTTCTGGGTGTTACAAACTTCGTGGCAAACTTAATATACCCTGTTAAGAGTATAAAAATCAACATAACTAACTTATGTACATATATGTATTATAATCTATACTAAAACGATTTAGAAAGAGGAAAGATTTGAATGTTTGTTTGTTTAATTGAATAGGCTCCAAAACTACACTCTCTCTCTTTTCAACTAGGCTATATAAATTTTTCAAAAAGTTAGGTATCCTTACTAAAATGGTAATAATGTAACCCATCGTGCAAATAATAACCTAAAAATTCCTTACATAGCGTGCACTGTGAATACATCTCTCTCATGTAAGGGTCTATTGATCCGGCTCATAGGAGTTTTGGGTACCACAACGGACCGGCGTTTAAGCTGTCCAAGTGTGATCCTTCTTAGGATCGACCCGCTAACCTAACCTAACCTAACCAGTAGCATGGGGTACCTGTGGGTTAAAAATTTGTTCAAAATGGGCGTGGTCCCGCCCTCTAATAAGTTTAATGTACATATATCACTCAAATTCGCTTAGAACAAATTCCTTAAGAACGTCTTCCGACAGTGTAAAAATTGATGATAGATCTCGACCCATATAACGGTTTTTGTAAAAAACTACTAAAAGCGCAATAAATCAGTAACTAAATGCTTCAGAGAAATAATATTTTAAACCTGAGATGGTACGAGAAGGAGCCGATCTTAAAATTGGATAATGGGCGTGGCACCGTTCACATTTAGGGAAAAATCCATATCTCAAGAATTAGTCGACTGATTTACGTAATACTACCTTAACATAGCTACATTGCATAGCGAAAATAAGTGAAATCAGACAAAAACCACACATACTTCCCATCTAACACAATTTTAAATTCCATTTGATTTTTTCGAATCAAGAACCAATGAATGCATCGAGATAAAACTTTGCACAAATAGTGCCCTTAGGTATTTCATCTTTCGACAAAAAATTGTCAAAATCGGACAATAAATTTTGAAGAAACCAGACTTCAAATATGCGGACCTCGGTGCGTATGGTTGACTTTTTGCCGAAAATATCGGTCAATCTGTGAGATATATTATTAAAATTCGGAGAAAATGTTACTTTGATAATAATATATATATATGCATATACATATATTAAATCAGGTCAAAAATTTGCTTATCGCTGATATACCAAATATAAAGATTTTCGAACTTGCAGTTGACTTTATACTACATACTTGTATATCGGCCAATGTGTTAGTTATTTTAATGAAATTGAGAGAACATTTTTTTCTAATAACAGTGTAACTTTGTGCTTTAAATATATAAAATCAGTCGAAAACTTGCCTTAGCCTCTATACAATTCCATTTTGAAATATCCGGCTTACTATACTAAATATATATGTTTATGTTTATATTTATAAAATTGTTTGAAAATAAATTCTCAAGTAAAGCAATGTCAAAAATTAGTGCAATCAGGCCTTTCATTTCTCTGCTAAGCATCTAAGTTAATATGATACCAAATTTGATTGTAATCTATTCACGATTTCGTTGAACAATAAAGTTGACCCTTGGCCTACATTTTTTAATATTACCAATACCTGAAGATATTAAGCCGGATTTGACCCTTGTAAATTGTTATAATTACTCTGATTTTCAATGTCTCATACTTCCCAAGTGCCACAGCAGAGTTCAACAAAGAGCCTATTGTGGTCAAACGGTGTGTACTTGGTATCGATATCGCCGCTACCAGACCCGTTACTAGTACCATTACTAAAGAACGTGCAACTTGCCAGGATCAAGCCATAAGATTTGTTAGATTAACGAAAATCATTAAATGTAGTATATGGGAGTTCGTGGCCCAATTTCACATATTTTCGGCATTAAACTATAGTATATCCAATATTGTGCGTTCAGTTAATTTTGCTAAGATATCTTATTTATGGTCCAATATATACGGATCATATATTGGCCGATATATGCGGTATAAAGTCAGCCGGAAGTTCGAAAATCTACCTTAAAGAAGTATTGACACCGTTCAATCTTAACATACAAAGATACTATTATGAGGAAAGGATTATCTCCAAATTTCGAGTATATAGCTTACATATGACAGATCTTCGGTATCTGAGGGCTTAAAAAGTATTATTCAATTTTAACAATTTTTAAACTTGAGATAGCATATTTCCAATGCACTGTTTGCTCCCGGTATATTCATTGGTGCTTGATATATATACTGGGAAGTTAAAGAATGAGATGGAATTTAAGAGTTTGTTATATTGGAAATAAGCATGGTTTTATCCGATGACGCCTATTTTCACAATGTAACATAGGAATGTCAAGATAATATTACCTACAGAATTTGGTTGAAATACATTTGTATCATCTCGGGTGCAAAATTTAGTGACTCTGATGCATTTATTTGTGGATTTACTGCACTTTATCATCCGATTTTCCCTATTTTAACACTGTAGTAAAAGGTGTCAAAATGATTTGTCCTGTGTAAAGTTGGGTGATATAGCTTAAATGGTATGGAAGATACATAATAAACATTTTGGGGGGCGGGGCGCCCCCCACCTTTTAAGAGTTTTAGCCCAGAGCTGCCCCCTCGTAATGCGATTCAATGTACCAAATTACAGTTTTGTATATTGGTCTGCGGCTTAGTTATGGCAATTTATAGGTTTTCGATTATTGGTGTTTTGTGGGCGTTATGGTTTTAATCAAGAAGCTTGCACGAGCGACCGGACGGACAGATAGTCAATCGGATTTCAACTCGTCTCGTCATCCTGATTACTTATATAAATATGTATATAACCCTATATCTATTTTGAATAGTTTAAAGTGTTACAAATAACCGTTAGTTGAACAAAACTATTATACTCTATAGCAATATGTTGCGAGAGTGTAATAATGCCAAAATCTTTTATTGAAGACCTTATCTACATATGACTCAAAACGAATATTATATTATATATTGCCTTCGCTTACCTTAACTTTTTCTGAGAGTAGCACCAACTGAGATTTCGCGATGTCGCGTTATAGTGAAATTGGGATCCATTTCATTAAAGTAAAAGGTTATTTATCAAACCTTCTAAATTCTGACATTGTCATACGATCCTGAATTCATTAATACCCTTCAGATTTATCGCACAGATTCGACTTTTATTGCAAGCTATATAAATTTTATACAAATAGCTTTAAATATCACAAGCTTACGCGCATCTCCAACTTCTTGACGTGACATTTTCTCTACCCTCATATAAAAAAATTGGTATTATTACATCTGCCAGTCTATTTGATTTAAGCCACTTGTTTTTTCAATTTGTCACTCCCCAAATTTTTCCCAATCGTAAACAAATACTTACTACGTTCAACGTGTATAATAAAAATCAAATGTGCGCCTATGTCTGGTACTTTAAACACAGTATTACCCTCTAGCCTTAAATTAATGAAAGAAAAACGAATAATGGTTTAAAACCGGTATTAAAGAATAGATATTATACATGAGACTGCAGGTGTTTCTCATATGAACAAACAATGGGAAAGCTAAATGCCCTTACAAATGTAATTATGCAAATAAAAGCCATGGAAGTTAAACTAAAATAATCACTACAAACAAGTGTATAATAATTCGGAACCAAACGACTAAAATCACTATAACAACACCAGTCAAAAACAACATTCGTGACTTTATACCTCAAAACTTATACACATTTGTATATACCAACATACATATATGAAATTTATACCACCCTACCGGATTAAATACAAACAAAAGCTTTAACAATAAACACATTAACGTTAAGTTGTCATCGTAAATCGGAAAACAAACAGCAAGGCGATACTGCTAAGCTGCTTACTGAAATCCCGTATATATTGTGGCACATTACAGGACAATAATTAACAATGTAAACAAACCATTCAAGGGTATTAAAAATAACGCTTTGGAAATCGTTTCCACCGCACACCTCATTGGTATTAAGTAGGAAGTATTTGGTAAGGAAAAGTTTTCCTTTTCTATCACACCATTCTCGTACATATTGTTGAAATATCGACAGGGACCATACATAATTGAAAACTTCATTTTTTAAATTTGCTGGAATTATTACTCGGATATAGTTATCCAAACAATGATCTACCAGTTTTTGATCTGACAAAAATCGAAAATTTTTTGATTTTCCTCTCCACACTTGTATACCCCAAAATCGCCTTAAGAGTCCTTTTTGGTTTTGTTAATATAAAAAATTTATGTAAATTCAAGTTATTGTTAATGAGAACATTGTATGGAGATAAAAGCTTCCGGTCGGTTTGTATTATCTCCATTTCATTGTTCTAGCACAACGTAGAACTTGAAATCGATTCCAGTGCCGACATCACAGAAAGTGTGTTTAGCGATAATCTCGGCAGGTGAAACTCCTCATCCTTCACACTTTTGCTAGCATCTAAGAGCTTCTTAAAAAATTATTTATTATAAAAATTTAATTATTACCTATATTATGTCCCCTCGAATGAAACAGAAACAATATTCAGTAACACCAGATGGTGATTATAAACGCCAACGACATATTGCATCGATCCGAACCAAATATCCATGAGTCCTAATACCGCCAAAATGCATATCGACCCTCGCATATCGACAAAACAAGTTGAGCCTCATCATCATAAATAGATAATAACTACAAAATTTCGGTTCATGATGTTAATGATCCATATATAATTCCTATGTTAAATTTTGACTATATACTATTACTTATATTTATATTCAATATGTTGCTTTTTTTTCAGAAAATATGGATGGCAAACGATTACAGCGTCTCAGTGAGCGTCAAAGTGCTTTTAATGCCAAATATAAGAAGACCATTGAGCAACAACAGCAGCAGCAGCAACAACAGCAAAAACAACAAATGCAACAACAATTAATGTACAAGGATAACAGCAATAGCAACAACATTATGGGCAACTCAAATGACAATTTGGACAACACTTTGAATAGCAACAATTTTAATGCTATTATGGACGTAAGTAGCAAAGAATATACCTTTACATACATATTGTATTTAGTACGATGAAGTAATACAGCAGAAAGGTGTAATCAGTTTAAAATGCGTTATGATTTGGAGTGAGAATTTATTTGAAATAAATATTTATTAGTTGTTGTTGTTGTTGCAGCGGCAGAAACCCTTAAGTATTAAGTATTTATTAGTATTACTTAAGTAATTAAGTATTTATGCACTTATAAACAAGTAAAGAAGGGCTAAGTTCCGGTTTAACCGAACATTTTATACTTGCAACTTGCAAGGATCAAAACCCGTGAAATACTTTCAGGTAAAAATACAGAGCCACACGCTCTTTCAACTTCATTAAGATAAATCACATATTGACCGATATATGCGGTATGAAGCCAACTGGAAGTTCGGATGTATGGGGGTTAACAGAAGTATTAATCCGATTCTACCCATATTAAACATACGGGCATAGTACTTGTATTATCAGGAAATAACATTTTCCGAATTTCTTAAATATATCTCACAGATTGACCGATAGTTTGATAAAAAGTTCGCATTTGGAGCTAGGGTCCACATATGCGGTATCTATGGGCTTGAATAATTCTGGCTTGCTTTTAAAACTTTTTGGTTATCAGGTGACAAATCTTTAACGCACTATTCGTACAAAGTTTTATCCCGATACGTATGTTTATTGGTGTTTGATTTGTGTACTGGAAAAAGAATCAGATGGAATTTAAAATTGTGTTATATGGAAATTAGCGGGATTGTAGTCTGATTTCGCCAATTATCACCGGCTTCTTTAAACTTTTTGTGTCATCTCGGGTGTCAAATTTAATATATCTGACGCTTTTAGTTATTGAGTTATTGCAATTTCATAACCGTTGTATGGGAATCGTCCACTTCTCGGGTTATAACGATTTCATAATTTTTACACTTTAAAAGGGGATGGTAAAAATATTTATTCTAAGAAAGTTGGGTTGATTTAGCTTAAGTAATTTGGGAATACTTATTAAAGATTTTCATACCACAGGTACCCCTCACCATTGCTGCTGTTAAATTTTACATAGACCCGGTGACCAGAATTTAACAACTTCTTATACCCATCTTCCACACTAATATGTAAAGTTAAGAAAATATTTCACGGCAATAAACTTCCATCTACCCAACGCTGAACTCCCATAATGATGAGTTCATAAGCGTGCACAAGCTCATGTTGACACTACTGGTATTGCGGACACTAATCGATATTTCCTCGCGAATATGTCCGAGATATACCGAAATTTTGTCGACAACTTCACTCCTAAGGCATCCTTAAAGAAAAACTTCCATTGGGGCTGAGTCTGAGTTAAGACTTTTTGACAAAAAGTTTTTAGAATGGGCGTTGGAACTGGGACATGTTGGCACTATACCACTATTTATTTGCTGTAACCAAAAGGCTTCTTTGATCATCGTAAAAGTAGGAACGAATAATACCTTCTGTTGACAGAACTATCCATACAGAAACCTTGAATGAATGCGAAGGTTTTTCTTGCCTCAATTTAGGATACATGCCATTCTATTAGCGACATTGCTTATCCACTGATTTATGTGAAAATATGGCATGGATTAGAAATACATTTTTTTTATCAAACTGGGTGATTTTGAAACGCTAGACCGCTTTCAAGTAAATAGTTCACATTATTTGCTAACGTCTAAGTTGTTCAGATTGTGCTTGATTTTATTGTTAAACCTAATTTTTGAACATATCTTCTTTTAAATGAATCAATGAGACTTTATAAGATGAGACGCCATAGGAGGAATCCCTTATGTTTTGAATATCATAAATCGCATAGAGGTATTACTTAACTGGCGATTGTTCAATACAACTCCAGCACTCACGCTGTGAACCGCTGAAGTACTCTTCCGAACGGAATATCTAATGTGTACAGTAATAGGTAATTTTTGCATTATGTATTGAAATGTATGTGAATTAACTTTTCATACAGACTATTATTAGCCACAGTCAAGTATACCAAGTATTTATCAGCTAAAGCTATAATGAAAGATAGCTAAATAAAAGGGCTGTCAAACAGAAAAAGCATTATTTTGAAGAAAGCTTTAATACTTAATAACGGAATAATTTTGTATTGAGGCTCGTGATTACTAACCTATTAAGTGAGTTCAATCAAAAATTTGATATGTGGGGCCCTACAGGTTTAAGGAAAATTACTTTGAAAAATATATGAAATCGATAAACACTCATTTTAGACTAACTTATAAAGATCTCTAATGCTGACTGATATCTCAGCGAAATATATTGAATGCACCACACGGAATATTTATCCATTCTAACTCAAAGACTGTAATAGGTTCGTAGCTTTGTCAGATCTTTGTTTATTAAAAAATAGGGTATTTTCCTTCTGCTGACTTTGGTCTATAAAATGATGTAACTGGTCAAGAAAAAACAAACAACTAACCTATATATTTATATGCCCTTGCTTCAAATCCCGGCGTCGTATTTTAGGCGGTAGAAATATAATTATATAAACATTTCGAAAATTTTAGGTGAACAGGATATATTAAATTGCCACGAAGTTTGTAAGACCCCGAACGAAACGTTGGACTAGCCTCTCAGTTTTTGAGATATCGATCTGAAACACACACGACCTTTTTTCTTAAAAGCTGCTAACTAGTCGGAACCACCGATATCAAACCACTATACAAATAGCTGTCACATATACTGATCAATCAAAATCTAGTCCTTGTATGGAAAACTTTTTTTTTTGTTTTACACGATATCTTCAGGAAATTTGCTTAAGACTATTGTTCAAGGAAATGCTACATTTTCCGAACATTTTATTTAGCTCGGACCACTATAGTATATACATAGCTACCTTTCATACCATCGTTGCTTGTCTTGTTATAACTTGTACAGGGTCGATTTCACCATGTCCGTCTGTATATAAGCGAACTAGTCACTAAGTTTTTGAGATATTGATCTAAAATTTTGTATACGTCCTTTTCTCTCCAAGAAACTGCTCAGTTGTCTGAGCACCATAGTATATAAGGCAATGCTACAATTTCCGGACGAATTGTTCCGAGCACTATATTGTAACATTTAGTTACCATACAAACTGACCGACATCCAGGTATTGATATCTTCAGGAAATTTGGCATAGATTATTTTCAAGAGCAGCGCTACAATTTCCAATCATACTTCTATTGTTGAGACTGGTTAACAATAATATAAGCAACCATTCATACCGTTGATATAAGGAATGAACCTTTGAAGGGTATTATAGCTTCGGTGCTGCCGAAATTAACATTTTGTCTTGTTTTTAATTATATACAACTTTTCAAATTTACCCACCACACTTGAATGCTTACCATTGCACCAGTCCAACAGTTCACCACATACGTTCATTTATATATGTCCTCATTTTCACAATACACAAGAGACCACACGTTAATTCTAACTAGGTTTTAGAGCCTAAATAAAAATTCAAATGGCACCAAAGTTGATAAGTCTCAAATTGGTACCTTTTGTGGAATTCCCTGAACAAACGTAAATAACGAACGTAAATTTTATTTCAATTCTTGCAATAGTTCTTTATTGTTTTTTCGTTTCTTGATTGTTCTAAAATGAATTGTGCTTTCTTTCCTATTTCTTTCATTTCGCTTACACTGCTGCCGCACCGTTGCACCGCCCGCCCGCTTATCCACCACACTTCATTGCCATCGCTGCTACCGTTACGCCGTTAACGGTTCTACAACACCGGCGACTCACATGATTTGCTTATTATTGTTGCTTTTATGCTTACTCATGCGGATGGCTGATTTCACATTCTTTGACACCTGATCACGTCGCACTGCTCGCACTGCCCGCAACTGCATACTCCGTTTTTTGCACTGATTATTGGTGTTCCGTTATGTGGTTTGGTCATCGTTGTCACTATTGTCACCACACGTGGGCTCGGGTAAATAGGATAAGGACGATAACAATCGCCATTACAATCACATAAATTCGCAATTCACATTTACACCGGAGGAAATCAAATACGATAACAAACACTATAAGTATCTCAAGTACACCGCCTACAAGAAGGTAAGTGATAAGTGATAACGCATATCCTGTTGATATCAATGTGAAATATCTAGTTTAGTTCATAAACTCTGCATACTTGAAAAAGTATGATAAAATTAATGTAAAAACATACTTGCATGTAAAGTGCATAGGATGACGGTCTGTACCTCACCAATCAATTTCTATCAGAAAATGATAAATTAAAGATATAGAATCAAGACCGGTCCCTCAAGGCGGTATCGCAGAGACGAAATCTCAAATATAATCGAACTAGGACAATTAGTACAAAATGCTATAACCGTTTCAAACAGTATCCGAAGATGATATCACCTCTCCCAACTAATACGATGTAAGAAGAAAAATAGTGGGATTTCGGTATTGGACCCTTAGGGGAGTTAGTATTCAGAAAGTACCTAACGACAAGAGGTCGGTACTTTTAACGTATACACGTATACTCTATTTTTGAATCTTTTAAAACTATTACACGGCTCAAACACCATCACAATATTTACAAATTAACAAGCATTCAACAGCTTAGTCCCTTACATGGTATTTTAACAACGAACCAGATTTTTTTCAGTACTACAATCATTATAAAATATTGTCTTTTAGAAAACTAGGCGATGTTAATGCCACTCTATCTTAAAATTTTATTCCCTTAAACGTTTCTTATACGGTCAGGTCTGAAAACTTTCTTTCTGTCGCCATATCCTTTAGAACAATGTCCAAACACTCCTCCCGTCAACGAATACCTCTATGGGGGCCCACTTAGTACTGTTGTATTTGATCATAACATACATTATTCATCAAACCCATTACACTGAACGCTGAGATATCTAACTACAAGTATCTTCTCGGCAGCTCATCTGAAATAGTTGCTGTCGAAGTATAAAAATAAAAGTCGACTCTGTTCGATGTTCATCTTTTTTTATGTTCTCAGGTGCGCGTTCATATAGCTTTAGTAAGAGCTTTCGCTTTTAAAGTACAAGGGCTTTGCCCAGACTAAATCTCTTGTTAAACAATTATATGGAAAAAAATAATTTATTCAACTTATACATCAGATTTTAAATATTTTCATCATCGCTTGTTTAAATAGAGAGTTCCGTGTTTTCTGACTCCAGAACATGCAAAGTTAAATTGTGTATGCGGGAAAATGATTTTATAAATGTATGCCAAAATTAAAAAAGTGGAATTTTCACTTAACCTATGAATGAATTTAAATGTGCGGCGGTTTTAACAAATTCTGATGATATGCTTAGGATTATATCATATATGGTTTAATTTTCCCACAGGGTACCCGGCTTCATCCCACAGAATACCTACATATTATATGTTTACAATGAAGTATGCCATTTGGTCTATAATAACACTCCCTACCACACTCCTACACATGGTTCTAGCATTTGAGTCATGACATTTATGGAATTCTCGTTTCCTTGTAACTTACACCCACTATGTATGTTGCTGTGGATACAGAGCCTTTACCCCCGCAAAAGGTGATTTGAATTGTTGTGTAAAACACGAAAGTGATTATACTTATGAGTACAATACAAGTGCTTGCAATGGAAATAAGCACGTAAATATGGATTTTGTAGAAGTAGCTTTAATGGCAATAAAAGAACTTGAACTAAATTCCCACCACTTCCTTATACCCCGCCTACACTACCCGTCACTTTGTCTCTGTAATATTCGCCATGACTAAAGGCTGCGCTGTCAAGTAGATATATACAAATATATACCATATATAAATATAAGAATATTAGTTACATCGGTGGCATGAAGAGTGTGCCACATAATTTTACTGACAAGTTGTCATTACCACACGCTTATTTTGATATACTTTGAATGACTTGCGTTTGTTGATGGGGAAAAATTAATTTGACCACAATATTCACATTATTGAATTTATATAGTGTTTCTGCATACTTGGTATTTCAGCATCATGAATTTGAGGTTACTTTCTTAATTAAATAACAAGGAGCTTAAATTTCGGCAAGTCACAAGTGAAAATGAGTTTGGGAAATGGAGAAAATCAGATAGTAACCTCGCCCACTAACCATATAACGGTTGTGTTGAAAATTACTAAAAGTGCAATAACTCACTGAATAAATTCGCCACAAGCATTAAATTTCACAAACAAGATGGTAGGAAAGAGCTTTATAGGAGGAGGTAAAACTTGAACAATGGGCGTGGCTCTACTAACTTTTGGCCGAAATTCTATAGCTCAGGAACTAGTCGACCAATTTCTAATTCCAAATTTTGTATGTGAGGTTACCCAGCCATTCCTGTCACACACTGTGAAAACGGGCGAAATCAACGGTCATAAAACTATGCAACTAAAAGCTTCACCTATCCATGCTGTCATCTGAGTAACAAATTTACTCTAACGCATTCTTAAAGAAAGTGAAAACACCACATACGGCTTAATAATAAGTATCGTTTAAAATATTAAAAAACGTGCTTTTAAAGCACTTCAAACTAAAAAGTTAAAAATAAATATATTTATTTTCCTTTAAAAATTTTGGTTTTCGACTTTCGTAGCAGTCGGCCTTTAACAAAATAATTAAATAAATTATGTTTAGTTCTGAATAAAAAATATGCATATGTTCATTTACGCTATCCATCAGAGAGTTAATATTAGAATCAATCTAATAAATTCAAATGAAATATATGTGATATAGACTATATCGCAGCTAAATTGAATATATGGGATATATGGTATGAGGAACATATCTACCAATGGATGGAAAATCCCATTAGTATATGGGGGTTGGGTAATTCGTGTAACGATTTCACACATTCTCGGCATTAAACTGTAGTATATCCAATATTATACTTCCTCTTAATTTTGCTAAGATATCTTATTCATATATATATATAATATATAATATATAATATATAATATATAA